TTCCCTAGCGTGCCTTCGTGGTGTAGTGGTTTTGCACACTGGGCTGGTATCCCAGAGGTCCGTGGTTCGATTCCCTGCGAAGGCAGTTCCTAATTTTCATCTTGCCTGCTTCCAAAAAATACCTAATGTCTCTTTAGTTGCTTTTTGTTTACTTAATAAATAATTCCCCAGTTATAATAGTTCTTTTCACTTTCCCATAAAGTATAATATTTTTTGTGTGAAAAACTATATTTTTAAAAAATTAAATTTTCAATCTCAGCTGCTTAAATTTTGGATTTTCTAATTAATGTCCTTAATTTTAATTACTTTTTAAAAAATCTGTTTAATTATATATATATATATATATAATTAATATACATTTACATATTCTAAACTAATATATACACACATATACTGTATTTACTTGCACACACCCCTTGCATACTTTCCCTCTTAGTTCTTTGTTCAGAAAAATTTTCAAGTATTCGTGCAATTTTCAACTTCCTCGGGGATGTCAGAAAATGAACTGCCCTAAAAATTTTTAAATCCTTGTAATGATGATTTTCATATTATTCATTTGTTCACAGATTTTGGGTGCTTGAGCTCTGACTGATGGAGTAGTAATAGTGAAGCTCTTCAAGAAAACAGGGATATTAAATGCTCTTACGTTTTAAACCACTGCAGATGGGAAGACAGACTGAACTATGACAGTGGTGATGATCTGCAACATACAGCAGATGACATGGAGAGCAGTTTAAGTCACATTAAATTATTTGAGACCTAGGGAGTAGCAGGGGATGGCAATAAGAGCAGATCAGGTTCAAGTTACAGAGAAGCAGAAATGAAAATTTATGATTAGATATTGTAATGTTAATATTTCCATGTATTACTATTGGAAAGTAAATTTCTCTTAAATAAATAACATTGTGATGATTACCAGTAGTTTATCCATGAATACATTTATTTTGTTATGTCCTTATACCTGCGTCCTTTGGAAATTAAATTATTCCCATAATTTTCCACTCTTGGTTTTTGTACAATTAAATTAGAAAAAAAAAAAAAAAAAAGAGAGAGAGAGAGAAGCAGGAAAATATGAAAGTAAATATGGAATATGCCAGTAACAAATTTCATCTTTTAATCAGGTTACCACATCAGCAATTTAATTCAGAAGTTGCAAATTTTTATACACTGTATATAGTCAGACTTTATGCTCTCAGTAATGCAAAAATATCATTCATAGACAACACTTTTGTGAGAAGCTCATTCCTGATCTATTTAACAAGCATTAAATTAAGATGATTATTGTCTGAATTTACAAAGTTGAATATTTATTTTTCTGTTTATTGCATTCTAAGAATAAAATAATTTTAACATGCATTACTAGAATGTTTTCCATGAATTAAAAAAGAAAAATCAGAAAAATGGCAATACTAAAAAAGTTACATTTTGATTTTAATGAAACTAAGCAATGCCCTGCAAAATATAGCAATAAGTATAATATTACGAAAGTCAATTAATTACCAGACACTAAATTTCTTTTAGATATTAACACATATACAAAGCTGAAAAACTATATGCACCAGTTTGCTAGAAGGAAAAGAGAGGCAGGAAAATACAAAAGTAAATATGGAATATGCCAATAACAAATTTCATCTTTTAATCAGGTTACCACATCAGCAATTTAATTCGGAAGTTGCAAATTTGTATACACTGGATATCATCATGCTTTATGCTCTCAGTAATGCAAAAATATGAAATATAGCAATAGGTATACTATTATGAAAGTCAATTACCAGGAGCTAAATTTCGTTTAGATATTAACACATATATAAAGCTGAAAAACTATATGCGCCAGTTTGCTAGAAGGAAAAGTACCTTCAGTATGGACTATGATCATCTCAAACAGCAATACAGCACATGCAGCAATGTGTGATGCTGTTATGTATGTGGTTTATGAGGTCAGGAGGAAGTGAGAATCAGTGTTCGTTCATAGTAGTTATAAGTGCAGCAGAGATCTGAGGAGGACAGGAGAGGGAAGAACATGGGTTCCCAACCTTATGTTTATGAACATGGGGTCCCAACCTTATGCCTGCAGGCACCATGTGCCTGCATAACGTGTGCCCATCAGTGGCCACATGCACCACTGTCCATAACGTGTGCCCACCACTGTGTAATCACAATAAAAATGTTTTAATTTTCAACAAAATTCTATGTGAAAGTTTTCTCATTTTTAATGAAACAGAAATTATGTCCAACATAGCTACCAGCACAAAGCGAAAATGAGACCAATCTTTTTTTTATGTGCAACTATTATTAACTCTATCCAACTATGAATTCACCTTGAGAAAGTAAATGATGCCCGCTGTTCTACAAGGTTGTTCAATAAGTTTCCAGAGCGCCATCTATTCGTCAATATTAGACCTAAAACTTCGACGCCATTTTCATATTTGTTCTTTCTTAGGAACACGTCAAAAGTTTCATTTCGATCTGTTAATTTATTCATCGTTTAACCGCCCTTTATATCTAACGTGTTGTGCCTTTTTTCAGGTATGGGTAAAATTGAGCAAAGTGCAGTTATCAAATTCTTTGTAAAGAAAGGTTTAAAGGCAATGGAAATTCATACTGAAATGGTGAATGTGGTGGGTGAATCTGCTCCTTCAAAAACAATGGTTTGCAAGTGGGCTAGTTTATTCAAAAGTGGTCGTACCAGCCTTGAAAATGATCCGCGAGAGGGACGTCCAAAAACTGCATCAACATCGGAAATCATCGGAAAAATACAAGATTATGGTATTGGAAGACTGTCGATTGACTGAAAGAGATATAACAGAGGCTTTAGGCATTTCATTGGGCACAGTGAGCAATATTTTCAGTGTTAATTTGGGTTTCAAAAAACTCTGTGCAAAATGTGTGCCGCATTCTCTAACGTGGAGCAAAAACACATTCGGATGCGACTTTGCCAGCAACATTTGGAGCGTTTTAAGAAGAATAAAAGAGACTTTATCTGTCGATTTATCACAATGGATGAGACTTGGGTCTACCATCATGAACCTGAATCAAAACAGGAGGCTAAAGGCCCATTTACACTAGCGGAACTTTGAGCCTAAGAAACGCAGGCGAATTTGAAGGCTCGTTTGAGAGCTTTTAAACAGCAATTTTTTCGTATTATGAGGGAATAGTTAACTCTTAAACTCTTGAATAATGATATAAGTTACGCTGTTTATTTAAATGTGTACATATTCAGTTTCAGTTAAAAAAAAAAGAGTAACATTTTCGCCATTTAGTGAAGCTAGCAACTTCCGCGTGCATTTCTTAGGCTCAAAGTTCCGCTAGTGTAAATGGGCCTTGAGGAGTGGTGTGAACCCGGCTCTTCGGCACCGAAGCGAGTTTGTGTGCAAAAATCAGCCAAGAAGGAGTTAGCATCAGTTTTTTGGGATGCAAAAGAAATTTTGTTTATAGATTACCTTCAAACTGGCAAAACAATTAATTTGAATTATTATTGTAACCTTTTGAATCAATTAGATGAAAAAATTTGCGAAAGAAGAACTGGATTACAGAAGAAGAAAATCATTTTCCACCAAGATAACACACCTGCGCACACAGCTCAAAAAACCATTGCTAAAATAACTGAATTGAAGTATGAATTGTTGCAACATGAAGTACGAATTGTTGCAAATCCTATTCACCTGATTTAGCTCCCTCTGACTTCTGGCTTTTCCCACACCTCAAACAATATCTCTGTAGAAAATGATTTTTTTCAAATGAAGAGGTAATAGCTGCCGTGGAGGGATATTTTGCAGAGCAGCCAAAAAACCACTACAGTCAAGGGATCCATAAATTAGAATCGTTGGAATAAGTGTATTGAAGTTGAGGGAAACTACATTGAAAAATAAAGTCATTTTTACAAACAAAAATTTGTTTCTTCATTTCCATTCCGTGAACTTATTGAACAACCTGGTACAGATATTCTAGAATGTGCTCTTAGGGACAAAAAGGTTGGGGACCGCTGCCTTAGAGAATCCAAAGACGCTTGATGGAGATCTAACTGGACTCTTCATGTACTGAATTGTTTACTGCTGAAGATAATATTCAGCAATATGGCCTATGTGTTTTTGCTTTGCCATCTGGTAGGATGAAATTCTTACCCTTACGTGACTGCAGTGGTAGGAACCTATTGCAGTGTCATAAGGGAACACGTAATTTTACCTATGTAGGCTGCAGTAGTAATGGTTCCATGCAGAGACACAACACCTATGTATCCACTCAAAGCAAACACTGATGCTACGACCTCCATACAAATCAATTTCACCAATATCTGATGGATGGTAATAGGTTCCAGGTTCTCTCCATATAAAACTTGGTGTTGCTTAGGAGGCTAAACCTGAATTTATATTTATAATCTCAGCCCCACTGAGTTGGGTATGAACTATCATGTAACACTATGGGGAAATAAGCTGCAGCTCACAGTTCTTCATCAGAAAATAAGCAGAATTATAAATTAGAAGAGGGAATGAAAAATCTGCTGCAGAAGCTTCAAATTCACCTAATAATGAAAGTGCCACTGCATTGTGATTGCTGTATTGAATTTAAAGTGGACACAAACTCCACCGAGAAGTCAAATGCCTGGGTATAGTTAAAGACTTTTCATCAATTCTTCACCTTCAAATGAATTCTATGTATAACATTTCTGCTAAAGAATTGTCACTATTGGTTTGATCTATTATTTATAACAGATTGCTGATTATTATCTTACATCAGCCATTGAGGAAAGGATTGCTATAGTTTTCTCCATACATGTACAGGTTTCTATATGTACGCAGAAATGTCACTCATTCTTAAGTTTTGGACAATTTTTTAGGCATTAAAATATACATTTTTATTGAATTCTTGAGAAAGTCAAAGTGATTCACAGTGATATAGATTTGTAAAAAAAAAATAATTAAAGGACCAACACTTATAGGAACATACGAGCAAGTATTAAAACAAATTATACAGATACATTGGAAGTTAAATATATATCTTACCAAGAAGACTGAGTCCAAATCCACTTAATCCTTGAATGAAACCATCTGAAATGCCTTGAGGCAAATGGCGTCTCAGAAGTTCTTGCCGTGCTAGATGCTCATCATCCATGCAAAAGAAATCCATATTTTTTGACACACTTGAAGCCAAGCTAGCCATGCATATAATAGCACCTGAGAAATAATAGAATGAAAAACAGATTTCATAAACGTGCTCCTAATTTTAAAATTTGTATCTATTCTGAGAAATCCTTTTTTATACAATACATTATTGAGATCAGAATTATAAAATCTATATTCATGTCAGTTTGCTTAAAACATAAAAAGAGAGATCTAAATGCATTTCATTGCTAGAGATTATTACATGTCAATAAAAAATAATTTTATACATAACAATTACATATTCACAAAAAATTAAAGATCTGTTTCCACCATTTTTCTACACAAAATTCATCTTATAAGCTATTGACATTAGAAAATTAAAAAATGTCAAAGAAGCATCATCACTAGATTACTCATAGATTTAAGCACTTGTATCTCATATAAATGCAATAAAAATAGCTTATAAGTAATTAATAATGCAGATTTTATATTAGTAGTCAAGTTATGATTTATATTTAGTAAAATTTACATTGGTGATATAATACGGTGGCGACATTTATCGCATTTCTGTACAAGATTAATTAGCACATTAATTTTATCCCTATTCCTATTTTTTACCATGAGTTCCATCACAAGAGTAGAATAGATGGGTTTTAAACTGTGGACAAAAGTGTAAGATAAGAAAGAGAGCAATGTTAATAGCAAAACCATTCCCTTGTGTTTCTGAAAACTAGTAATTTCTGGCGTTTTTGGTGAATTTTTTTTTTTTTTTTTTTTTTGTTTTTACTAGTATTTGTGCTAGAGACCATGCTTACTTTTTAGAAACAGGGTTCTTAAGTACTTGAATTACTATTTGTTTTGTACATATTTAAAATTTGTTGAGATTTCATACTTCCCAAGGAGTGGTGATTTTTATAACTGTTAAGTAAGTTTGTATCTACAATTTGTGACATAAATAACTTTAGTTAGGTTTTACTCTTGTTGTGTGCAATTAATGTTTTCGACTTGCGATTTAAATGCAAGCTTGTTAAGTAAACTATAACCTAAGAAAGATAAATAAATGTAAATTAGATTAAGTAAATGTAAATTACATTTAAACTTATATATGTGCGTGATAGAAAGAATGTTCGGACCAAATGTTCCTGCTACACGGGACTTTTCTGAGAAACGAGAGTCTGGTAGCACTGGTTTAAACGGGAGGATTCTTAGAAGATACAGCTATGCTGGAAGCGAAGTCCCACCTAGCTACGGAAATGATGTACCAGTTACGTGGGATTTTTTTGAAACCTCGCCGAAAATCTGTAGCTAGGTGGTAGCTAGGTCTGTAGCTCTGTCCCAGGTAGAGATCAACCAATCAGATGCAAGTTCTGCTTCTGAAGGATCATGTGATCCCAATCTGAGCAATAATCGATTACTGTTTGGCATTCGAGTCTGTTTAGTAAGTAAGTATGGTAACCTAGCTATGTAGGTTTCATGGAAATGTGCGGGTTCTGAGTATTGTCCCTTTTGACTTCCAGTCTCACATAGCGAAAATATACGCAATTGGGACTTTAGACAACACCTAATTTATCTCTAACACACCAATCTCCTGTCCCCCTTCACTCACATGACCTTCTGACCAGAATTTACTTTTTCATCTCCTCCATCACAGTAACAGTTGATCTTTCTGTGTTCTGCTCTGCGGGAAAAACATCTCATAGTTCATGCTATGTTTTACAGATATGAACTTTACTTATATATTCAGGAATACGGCTTTTGTTAAGGTGCTTTCGTTGTAGCCTGCAAACAACTAAAAAGAGCTTTCTGTGTCTGATTGCCCTCGAAATTCATAGTATTTTATTCAAAATCTACTCTGAACTAATACTGCTTTTTTTTGCCCAATTTTAAATAGTATTACATTAGCGTGTTTCTCTTTTATTTGATTTGTTGAAAGTCATACAGAACACCTGTCAGTAAAATTGGTAAGTTTTCCTTTCATTCTTTCTACCGTTTGTCACTCTGAGTAAATTTTAAAACAAGGCCATTAGAATTCGAGTCAATCATTTTGATTACAAGGTAGATCATAAAATCTTAATTTACTACCTAGATCATTACTTACCAGATGATATTTGTTTGAAAAGAGAAGCAGCACCACTAGATAATCCATAGATAAAAGCTCTTGGCCCATGAAATAAACCTCTGTATGGCAAATACACGAAATCTGACATTCCAATTCCAACAGCACGCGCAAATCCTGCTGGATTTCCAAGAAGATCTAACGATCCAAATACCCAACCTACAAGATACCAAACGCTCTTTTAATATTCTATAATGTAATTCTTATAGATATATCATTGGAACAAGACATACAGATGAACAGGTGAGAGCGAGTCCGGACTCCCAGGCGGCTTACATAGGCAAATCATTAGTAAATTCGAAAGGAAATTTAACACAAATTATACATTAATTACAGTAACAACAAATTAAACACATAATACAGATTATATACGAAAGAGCTGAACATTATACAAAGCACAATACAAAATTATTTAAATTATTTCATAACAAAAATTACTGTTGCAATACTTTAAAATACAGAATGCTATATTCATCGGATACAATATGCTAAATTCAATATATATGCTATTCATTAAATACATTTTACACTGCCCGTCACACATTATATTAAGGGCATTAGTTCTTTATATATTATACTAAAGTGACCATATTTTCATTGAGACAAAGCGGGACAAATTGAGTGAAATGAGAATTATAATGTAGTTATGAAAGCAGACCAATAATTCAAAAAAATATATTTTATTGTATACATTCATATACTTGTCTATAAATATACAAAAGTATATTTCTTATTAACTATTGGTAACTATAAAAATATTTGTAAAAAACAATAATTTGAATATTATGCTTTTTAATTAATTAAAAATTTTATTTAAAAAAATTATGATTTTCTTTCACGGTCATATTTTTTATCCGAGTGAATACTTTGCAATAGATTCAGATCATTTATTAAAATATCGTGAAAATTTCTCACATGAATTGGTCAAATTATAATTTATGCTTAATACAGATTTTAAAGTTTTATAATGTTCAATTAACGTTTTTTTTTCAATTGTCCATATTTTATTGATGCTAGAAAAAACACGTTCTGTTTCTGCATTTGTTTCTGGAAGGGAAAGCGTGTGTTCTAAAATTTTCAAAATATTTTCACAGGGAATATTACTCTGTTTAAAATGAAGGAGTAACTCAGTTCATTTTTTGACTGTTTACACATTTGCAGACAACCAACATTTAATTTTTTAATCAGTAACGTATTTTTTTACCAATGACACCTCATCAAAAAGATCATTTTTGCAAATATTATTTTTTGGAAAATGGTTACTAATATATTAAAAATATTTTTCCACATATTCCCATAAAATCTCCTTTTTTAAAGTCACCCATTGAAAATTTTTCATATCCTCGAATTGAACGGTCCGTTCTTCAAGATATTCCAAGCAGTTATTATAAACATTTCTGACTTCTTTCAGAAAATCAGATCGTTTAATTGCACTTTGTTCTTCAAACCAAGTGATGTCCTTTCGAATAGCTTAAGGAACGTAACCAATTATCAATTCTTTCTCGCAATTTGGTTTTTAAATTATTGATTTCATTTGACACATCCGTAATTGAAATTTTGTCCCCTTCAATAATTTTCACAGCATTGTAAAATAATGTAGCTTGGTTGTATATGAACTGAAGCCAAACTTGTGATGTGTCATTTTCAAAAAAGAGCTGCAATATTTCTTGGACATATATCTTGTGATAAAAAGTATGATTTTAATGGTTCGTATATTTTTAAAATATTTTCTACAGCTGGTCAAAGAGCTAACCATCGTGTTTTGCTGTAACCAATAATTCTTTTATATTCAATTCTTGCGCTTTCACAAAAATCCTTTAAACTTTCAACACACATAGTATATATATATACGAGTAAATTTTTGCAATAATATTTTCAACATCGACTGGAAGTAAGTCAGATGTTGTTTGAATAGTATTGTGTAGAACGTGCGCTGCACAACCTACTCTAGTAGTTTTGTGGTTCAAATGTTAAGTTTCGTAAAACGTTATTGATGCCTTTTCTAGCTTTTCCACCAAAATTTGCATTAGTGTTATCCTCACAATAGGCAATAATTTTATTGTTCAAGTTATTCTTTTTTAAAATAGTACTTATTGAATCAAAAATTATTTATGAACTTTCACCCGGCAATGAAACAAAATCTAATATTCTAATTTTTAATCTTGTTTCTGGATCAAAAAGTCTAACAACTGTGCGAAATAATTTTAAATCTTTGTGGTTGGAAGCATCATAATATATGGATATAAATTTGCATTTATCTAATTCTTTCCACAATTGTCAAAACGAATATGGCAAAAAAACATTACAAATAATTGCTTTGGTTTTTGTCCTTGCACATGCAAATTTTTTGTCATACAATGTTTTGATCATTTGCGACGTACAATCAGTTGATCTGAAACTTGAAATTGCCGAGTCACCTCAAAGAGAAATTAATAAACTTCCAAAAGTATGCGACTGAAAAAAGATAAAAAAACTTATTTTGAAATGTCTCATATAGGAAATATGGATAAAATCCTTATTCAATAACTTGGATGGCAATGTATCCAAGTGACGATCCACGAACGGTGATAAATCGAGTGATGAAATTTATGCCAATTCGCGAGTGACTGAAAAAGAATTTCAGGATTTATGTGGCGATTTTGACTCACAATTCAGAATCAGAATTTGAAGGATTCGAATAAAATTCTTTAAAAATTTTGTATATATTTTTAAATTTTATTATGTGCTAAAACGGCAATAAACAAAAATTTCCTAAATCATGAGCGAAATATTATCGAGAGCATTAGCAATCTGCTTTATTGATGGTGGTGGCGCCGCTCACGCAAAAAGTTTGTTCTCCCGAAAAATTTTCTCTAAAGTGTGTGTGTGTGGGGAATCGATTATACATAGGTATATATGGTAATGCACTATTACTGAGATTTTCAACTGTAACAAATGGTGGCTTCGTTAGTCTTAGTACTACTTTTAAATTGTTGATAATTCTACAAATATTGCATGCAGATTAAATAAAGGCATAGAAACCTTAACCGGAATTTAAGAGCACATAATTCAATCACTTTTAAAGGAAAAATACACAATTTACCAACATATAAGAATAAAATCTAAGTTCACTGAGCCGGTTTACATGCAGTTGAATGCAAACAAAAAGGCAGAGCAGGATTTACATATAAGCTACGCAAGCTATAACTTAGGGGCCCCCTTCTTGGGATCCCCCCAAAAATTGTCCCAGTGAGCAATTGTCATATATACTTAAATATACTGCAGCATTATTTGTCGCAACGCTGCATGTCAGGAATGTCTCGTACTCTTCACCCAATTTTTTTACCGTGCCTTTTCGAAGAACAAAGCACCATTGTGTCTAATTTGTCCACACCATTGTGTGGTTTGCATTACCGATAACAGGTTAACTGGTTAATTATGAGTATCAAAATTACTGAGACATTTCGACAGCAAATGCCGGTAATTTTTAAAATTATGTAACTTGTAAAATATATAATTTCTTTTACTATAACACGGGGATTCCTCTGTGTTGTTCCGCTATACTGACTTCGATGGTTGCAAATTGCTTTGGAGAAAAAACTTTTTCTCAGCTGAAGAGGATAAAAATGAATTTAGAACAACAATGACTCAAGATAAATTATGTTCCCTCAGTCTCATGCACATAGAAAGTGATAAACTACGCACTTTATCGTTTCATGATGTCATCATCAGTGACTTTGCTCTGGCAAAGGCAAGAAATAAAATATTTTAATTTAATATAATTCCTTAATACTTATAACGTTAAAAGAGATAATAAGATATAAGATAAAGAGATAATAAGATATAAGATAAAGAGATAATAAGCCTTTGTAAATTGTGCCTTTTAAAAGAACTTCTGTTGCTTTTTACCAGAGTTTACATTTTAAAGTTTGTTATGAATAAAAATGATTTTAAAATTAATTTAAAGATTACAGATTATTATTAAAAGATTTAATTTTAAGATTTATTATTTCACTATCTATATACTTCCAAATTGCATTTCAGTTTAACCCTCTAGGTATCCAAAAATCATATTTGGTACTGACATATAATATTTGGACTCCATCTTTCAAATAGCTTAGGGCTTTATCAAGTCTAAATACGACCTGCAAAAGGGAGGTGGACAACTACATGTTATAGCAGTCTCATATACAAAATTTTGACATTCTGAGGCTACTCGTTTTTGAATTACGCGATATACATACATACAGACATAAAAAAAAAAAAAAAAAAAATCTTCTGAATCCACTTTACAATTCGTTTTGGACCCAAGGAAAAAAAAAAAAAAAAAAAGAGAGTCTTTCATTCTATCTTGCACATAGAGATGTCAGATAAAAACACGATTAACAACAAAAACATGGATTCGAGAGGTGTCAAAACGGGTATTTTCTTTGAAATATGATAACCTATTACAATTTCGCAATTACAATACTTCCTTTACTTCCTGCAAGAAATATTTATTAATATAAAGTTGTTACAAAATTCAATATTCACATCAAGAGATTATATCAAAACTGATAACAAGCTAAGCTAAGCAAAGCAAAGTTGCAATTACACCATGAGGAGACCTATTTTGATTGGTATGGACAAAATATAGCTTGATTTAAAACCACGTAGTTATTCTTTTCATAATCAGATTAGGAATTACAGCTTAAAAGTGCTCTAATCAAGCCTCTAACAATGCCTAAATCTAATACCTAACAGAAAAGAGTCATTGTAAGTCATTATACGTTATCAAGTCAAGAAGCAGAGGATTGAGTATTTGATTATGAAAAGGCATGTGAGAGGTATTTGCATAATTGGACAGATGCCTTTGTGGAGGACTTTCTTAGAAAATACACATGGAGAAAATCACAAAAACAACCATGTAACCAGCCCATTCACTGGAGTTTGAACTACAGCCAAACTAACAGTATTCAGCAATTGCGCCACTTGGCCACTGGTGGGTGGTCAAAGAGCAGAGAAATGTCAGTTAGTTTCATATGTATATACTACCCACATAACAATGAAAATTATAAAAATTGCAATTAAAAAAATCCTGCACCATTGCAAAACAGTTCCTGAAAAAAGAGCACTGGTATTCAAATAAAATGCTTAGACAAAAAATGGGAAAACCACATGGATAAAGCTAGAGTATTACAAAGCAGCAAACAACAAGTAAACATACAGATTGAAAAATTGGAATTATCAGGGATAAGCAAACAATTTAAGATATAGAAGGCTTTCTGGAAATTACTTTGGCTATTTGCACACAACACAAATGTCATCGCAGTAAGAAAATGTCATCATGATGAATTCTGCCAGACTTAACATTTGATTCAGAGTGACTTTGTAAATCTACAGGAAAAATCATACAATATATTATTACTTCATTAGTCTATTTGGTTATCTATCTGAATATGTTCAAAACAAAGTGATATTTCTTAACCCCTTCGTGCCGACTGTCATGTCTACATGCCAGCAACAAACACACTCACTTCCTGGTAGACACACAGGCGTGCCACAGCGTTTTCCCGTTCAGCCTCGACTGTCACGTATTTGTGCCAGTGTCCTGGAACGTTTTAAAAACTATAATTTCTGCCCCAAGATGGCACTGTATGTACATATGGTTTCAGATACATATACATTAGACCTTCTACTCGAAATGAGAGAAGCATGACTCACATACACGTGTTTTTGATTATATAAACAAAAAGGAAATAAATGTTTCCGAATGGCGTGATTTATGACGTCTCTTTAAATTCGCAAGTGGCAGTTGTTTATTGTAAATAGAGAAGTTTTATTTTCGCTAAAGCGCTGGGTATTTCGGTTTGCAGTTCAATTTCTAGAAAATAATTAGATCTTGTTAGACGTGAATTCTTTCTGTTTTTACCGTTGCAATGTCGAAGCTTCGAAAATGTTTAACAGAGCATGAAATAGCAGAAATGATGCAAAATATTTCAGATATTGATTCTGAAAGATTAACTGAAAGACATTTTCCAAAACTTTGTTCAGAAGAGACTGATAAGAAAATGAGACGACGATGCTTCGTTTGTTCACATTCCCGGAAAAATCCTCCAAACGGCAAATGAGTTATTACGAGTGCAAGGAATGTAACGTAGGACTGTGTGTAGATCCCTGTTTTCAAATTTTTCATACGAAAAGAGAATTTTAAGTAATATATTTAGTTTTCAGATGTATAATGTTAAAAGTCATAAAATGGTGAGTAATGAAAATAAAATGTGTAAAATATGCATTTAAACAAGAAAAAAGTAATTAAAGTATATATAAAAATATCTATAAAGCATAAGCCGTTTAAATACTCTATAGAGCATTATTAAACAATGCGTTGATACTTCATAAATTTCAAGGATTTAGTCTTAATATCAAAAAAGCCCCGGCCCTGGACAGATAGATGCTCGCGTAAGACACTGCCGGCCTCCGCGATAAGCGCGCGTTTGCGCTACCCGGCGCGAAGGGGTTAAAGTCTACAAAGAGAATCACCATTATGTGGTCTTGAATAAAATACACCACTATCAATATTCTACCTTAAAACTTTCATACTTTTATTCATTTCTTGAAATTCATTACAAATTATAAAAATTGTATGAATACCTCTCAAGGTTATATATATAAACTACTGGTTATTAAAATTGCTGCACCATAAAAGAAAGTAATAAAATCATATTTATTTTATTAATATATCATAATAGTCAAGTAATTTTGAGACATAGTATATACAAAAATTAGTAACAGAAAGAAAATGAAAATAAAAAGTACATAATGCGAAACTAACCTGCTCGGAACAGTGCACCAGTTAAATAATGAAGAATAAATACATGGCCAGCTTCATATGGTGTGGTGAAAAGATCTGTCACTTCAAATGGCTGAAATCTGAGTAAGGAATGTTCAAGGGAAAGATATATTTTCAAAGAAGCATGCAAACTTAAATATATTTCTTTTATACTAACTGTCATATGTTGAAAATGAACTGGTTGAACAAATAATGCCGACACAAAAAGAAGATTCTTTGGAAAATATCCCCGTACTTTCTGTAGTTTATGTTGATGAAAACTGACAGGCTTGTAAGTCTTTGACAAAGCAATAACTTTATAGCAAAAAGTATCTTCTATGTAAAGAGAAACAGGCAATAATTCAATATTTAATGATCGATACACAATTGAGTTTGAAACATTATTAGGAAATTCAATAGTTGCACTCAAAATAAAAACAGAATTTTCCCTTACTTTATTAGGCAAAAAAATGTCATCATGGTGAATTCTGCCAGACTTAACATCTGATTCAGAGTGCCTTTGTAGAACTACAGGAAAATCGTATACTATGTTACTTTCTTGGTCTATTTGGTTATCTAATTGAATATGTTCAAAACAAAGTGATATTTCTTGAAGTCTACAAAGAGAATCACCATTATGAGGTCTTGAATAAAATACAGCATTATCAATATTCAACCTTAAAACTTCCATGCTTTTATTGATTTCTTTAAATTCATCACAAATTATAAAACTTGTATGAATAACTCTCAAGTTTATGTAAAAAATATATGGAAATTTAGAAAAATGTTCGGTACTTTCACACATTACTGATTTCTTACCAGCAGACTGCAGTTTACTTCTTGCCTTTATTTCACAGTCTTTTTTATTAGAACTAGTTTTTGATTTCGCACATTCTGTTTCTTTCACAAATGAAGAAGCATGATTATTAAAATCTGTGGCAAGTGCTATTCTACTTCTAACCTCCTTTGCAGTTAGTTCAATGCGATTAACTGACTCAATGTATAAATTAAGTGTATGTCCCAATTGCTCACTATGCACCATAATATCACAAATGCCAAGTATGTGAACAAATTGTTTATCAATATTAATTTTGAATGGCATACTCCATGTGCATTTTTCAGAACTCTTTTTCCTTGAGCCTAAGCACAACATAGGCAACTTCTGTAGAACCTGTGGAAACTTTGCCTCAAGAGATGGAAACGCATAGTGGCAGGAGCCTTCAGGGTGTAAGACAGGAATAATTTTGTGTTTTTGAAGCTCTTCATAAATTGTAATACCTGGAAAACAAATATGAGAATGAAAGAAGTAGTAATTTACATTTTCACAATAGCTGCATAAAAACATATCACACATTTATCACTACTTTCCTTTATTTAATTTTGTAATAAATATTGATATACCTTCAACTTCAGAACAACTTTCACCATAAAATATATCCATATTAGTCCGATTGTGCAGTAACAATAATGGATTAGGATCTTGGTTGACGACAAGAAATAAAAGCCCATTGTGCAGGTGACTAGTTAGAACATATGGAACACTCATACATGAATTTGCACCATATTTCACTGGAACAGCTACAGCATGTCTGGAGTGATCTTTCAGCTTTGAATCAAAGCATACAGGGTAACTCCATTCTAGATCCAAAGATTTTGCAAGAGATATGTAAAAATTTATCTCCACTAATTCAGGAAATGGAGATGAAGATGAAGTAATATCTTCCCACCAAACCAAAGGGTAACAGCATTCAGTTAAGCTACCCAAAACAATTGGATTCCTGCATGTCTGATGAAAATTTACCTAAAATGCATTAAAAAGCACAAAATGATTTTCATGCACGAGTTTCAGTTAACACTTTAATGCAGTTCATGGAATGATTTCATAACAATAGTGTACAATTAACTTACTTTCCCAGCACTGTTTTGAATGCAATGAAGAGACAAGAATAATTCATCTTGAGTTTTATTCATGATAGATATTAATGGAAATGCAGTAATAACAATCATTCCTTCACAAACTTCAGATTTCAGAGTAAACATAAACACCTTCGAAAAAAATTGATAATTAATATATCTCCACAATAAATAAGCATTTTTAAGGAAAATTCATAAGAATACCACTATAAAATATAATAACATTGTACACATTTCAGAATACTAAAAGCAGTAAATAAGTTTAGACATCTGAAACTATAAGTAATAGAACATTTAAAAGAAGGGGAAACATAAAGAACTTTATGTATTGATGAAATTGCTCAAAAATTAAAAGATAAACTTGAAATATGATCTTATGGAAGGTACACTGGTGTGCAAAACTAAACCAACAATGTAAATTTTAGTCAGATAGCCATAAAACTGCAGAAAAAGGCTTTTTGCGATCAGTACAATGAACATGCCATTTGGTAGTAAGGTAATGCATATGCAAATGTCAGGAACAAAATGCCATAGGTGACGTGAGCGTACGCAAAATGCGTGCGGCCGCAGTGCAAAGAAAGGATGAAGACGCAATTAAAGACATTCACTGCAAGTACAAGTGAGTTCTTTTGTGAAATATGGCTGGAAGAAATCGCCTGGATGACTTCACACGTGGAAGAATAATCGGAAAGCTAGAGGAGGGGCGTAATGTGACCAGTGTAGCTGAAGAGTTCGGAACCAAGAAAAGTGTTGTATCGCGTGCTTGGAAAGCCTTCCAAACCATAGGTACACTGATTTAAAAAAAAAAAAAAAAAAAAAAAAAAAAAAAAAAAAAAAGAGACAGTAGTTCTATATCTTCTGTTCTATGGGCCGATTGAATTGAAATTGCGTTTTTTATGTCTTGAAAGCGCGACTTAGGATATATATTAGATTTATATATAGCACTATTCTAACATAGGTATTTTGACACAAAATCGGACTTTTTCTGAAATAACATACCAATTTTTTTACATGTTTCGATTCTACGACTCAAATTATGCCAGATTTTGTAAAACTCGTACGAGTAGTTTTTAAAATATTAGCTCTCAAAATTTTAGCTCCTCAATGTTAATTGAATTTGGCAAATATTTATTAATATCTCTTTTTTCATTAAACATTTTTGATTTTTCCTTTCACATTTCGAAAATTAGGTTCATTCCAAATAAAATTTACCCATTTTTTTGTTTTATTTTTTAAATTTCTAGTTTTAAATAATTTTCATACATTTTTCGAAAAAAATTTTGAATTATAACCTATAAAATTTTTACTATCATCTTAAAGTAGGTGTATTTCTAAGCATACCTGCAAAAAATTTGACTTTTTTATTGAAAATTTTCTAAGATATATAGGAATTTACATATTTTCGCATTTTGAAATTTGCATCTTTCTTTTGAGCGATTATAACGCCAAATGTGGTTTATGCATTTTTGTTACAATGAATTGCCACAACTAGTTTTAACCTTAAATTTCAAACGAATTTTTACGGAGAATTAATTATATGAAATTTTTCCTCAATGATGTGTAATAAATATTTATTAATACTATGGGAAAAATTATTATTTTTAAAATTATAGATATTATTAAAATTTTTAACTTTTTAAAAAAATATCTTCTCTTTTTTCCTTTAAAGAAAAAATATTTGTAAGAGTAAATTTTTATCTTCGGCGTTTTATCGTCTGCTACTTTAATTTAACTTCGTTTAAATCGAATTGTCTAAAAGTGAGAACTTTCATTTGATGTTTATTTGAATTTTATGAAAATATTTTATGACATTAACTGCATAATTTATTTCTAAACAAGCTGTTGTTTATGAAGTGGCTGAAAGAGCGGCTGATACTATCATCCATATTTTTAAAGCACAGTATATTTTTATACTGTAGAAACATAAGATTCTAGAATAATCAATTTTTATAAAAGTCAAATTATGATATAAACATACAACCCTCTAGAGACCGAATTAATGGAAGTTCAATGGTTATGTAGAAATGATCTGCAGCTACTTAATGGTTAGATAAGTCAGCAAGTTCTATGGACAAGTAAGAATAATTATATAAACGACATCCAACATTCTGGATTCAATTACCAACGAGGGAAATTTATTGAATTTAAATGAAATTAAGAAGTTTTTAAACATAAAAAATCGAGTCATTTTTTTATCCTAAAATGTATTTTTCTGCGCAGCGTATTTTCATTATATCCTTAAAATTCTAATTTAGAATGTAATTGTCAAGAACTGAATTCTAATCATCAGTAATATAAGTAATTATTATGGTTATTAATAAATCCTTCTTTTACAGTAATTGCAAATATTTCACAAAACTTTCTGTCTGAATGAAAATATTTTTCTATGCAAATATTTCTAATTTTATATTAATCCAGATTGCACAAGATATTATTTATTTGCACTTCAATTCTTACCGTCAGCTCCAGTAGAAGTTACAAATCAATTATATTTAATTAAGGAATAACCATCTTAAGTTTAGAAACAGCATACCGTAACAGCAATTCAGTTATTGGCGCCGTATCTTTCACGTTACTCCCGATTGGCAAGCTACATGATTTTTAATGAGTATTCGGGTTTTGCTAGTAACTTCACTTTGAAATCGCACTTAAACTAGGTTAGTTGGTTATTTGAACATAGAAAGAACATGGGAGCTATTTGGTTAAGATGCTTTCATAGAGAACCTTTGTAAAGAGAACCTAGGAAACTAGGAAAACCAACCATGCAGCCTGGGTTAGACTTCGCAACAAACAATTAGTATTTAACAATCTTCAAATGCTAGGCAACTGGTGAGGCTTCAATTAAATCTCCAATTTGATATTTTATTTGTAAATATTTAAAATATTGTTGTATTCTTAGACACGAAAAAGCAGAATTTAAGTTTTGTTAACTCGCTAGTAAACTACCAAGCCGTAGTGCAGATGAATATTCAATTTCTTTTGCAATAATTGTATTCACTTAATATTCTTGGAATATGAGCTAAAGAAGGAACGTTCTCGGAAGATTAAAGAAGTGTTTAAATCCAGTGATATTAGGTTTGTCTTACAAGCTCAGGATCAAAACGATTCTGCAATTACCTGAGTAGTTGACTTGTAAATGGCTGTGAATTAAGCAGATGACTTTTAATCTTACGTTTTCAATCAGGAAACGTATTCCAAATGTTTTGTATTGCATGGCAATGCATCTTTTCATTATTCAACAACCGCTTGTGAGAACCGTTTATGTTCCGAAAATAAGTATGTGTACTCAATCGTCCTGCATGTTCTTCAAATTTCTCTTCTTGTGATTTTTTTTTCTTTCCCAGAAACTAAAGTTACCTCTCAAAGGAAACTTTTTTGACATTGAAGAGACAAAAGAAGTATGACATCTACTTTTAGAGGCATGTCAAAAACAGATCTCTACAAGCCTTTTCTTCTATTACATGTACAGTCAGACAAAAAGTTGCATCAGCGTAAATTCTATAATCTATTTTTATTACACTCTGATTTCTTTATTAACATACAGTGAATATATACTAAATCTTTTATGTCAGCTTAAGTAATTTGGAATTTTTGACGGAATTGTTGTCGGAACTAGGACTTTGAAGATAAGTAAAATTAAATATTTCGATAACGCAATAAATTCAAGGTCGAATTTCAATATTTTATTTTCGGAGGGAGGGGAAATTTTTTTCAGTTTTGGTCCATTATCCTAAGTATATTTGCTTCGACTCTTTATTTTTTCTATAAAAGCAAAAATCTTACGCATGGTATACATATAACGCATAGCTTCAAATTAAAATTGAATAATATACAGAGTGGTTATAATTAAAGTTCCGCATTGAAACGGTCATAAAAGGAAAACTACTGGATCAAATGTTATCAAACTTAGTAATTGCGTAAAGGAGGTCATGGAAATTTATTTTCTACAAAAAAAAAAAAAAAAAAAAAAAAAAAAGGAAGTCTGAAACCTCACCACCAGGGGGGAAATGGCGCTGTATACAGTATTGTTAAAGGAAATATGGATCGGAATCTAAATTAACCTTTTGTTAACCGGGTTTAATATGTTGTATACCATTAAGAAACTTTGAAGTAAGCAAATTACTATTTAAAGGCGTTAAATTCGATAAAAGTCGAGTTCGCCATCCGTGTAAGGGAGAAATTCGACCGTGAAAACCACGAATTAGCGATTAGAAAATGTGAGATCGCAAATAACTCGCACAAGTGCGCACAATCTGGAAATCGTTTTCTTACAGATCGCTAATTTGTAATTTTTGAAGCCTAAAACATGAAGATACTGATTCAAAACGCTTTTAATCGATTTGGGCGAAAGAAATCCCTCATGTTATATATCTAGTTCCATTGCATTCTATTACTGCATTCGATTGCATAGCAGTCATTCCATACCATTTGGTGTTGAATGACAGCTAGTTTTATAACTGAACCATTTTTCTCTGAAGAGCAGTCGACAGCTGGACCACTGTGATTGCAGCTCACTTAGAATAAATGTTAAAATGTTTCGTGATACATGAACTGCAGTAACGTGGCATTTTAGATACCATGTGGTGAGTATACCACGTGAGAACCCTGGTGGTGAGTTTTTGAACATTTTTTTTCCCACGGAAAATATATTCCCATAACCTCCTTTACACAATTCTCAAGTTTGATAACATTTGGTCCGGTAGCTTTCCTTTTAGGACCATTTCAAAGTGGAACTTTAATTATAACCACCATGTAAATTAAACATTAAAAGTTTGGCAGTTTGGTTCAAGTCCCAGCTTTAAAAAATATATATATATATAAATATAAATTTTTATATTAATCCTCATAGAAAGAATATTTTAAGAAGCTAATTTTTCTCTCACGTTATAGATTGTATAAAAAACATGAACTTTAATATGATTTAGATTGTTTCAGTCGATATAAGAATCGGGTCACTCGGTGGAACAGAATAAACACTGCTGGACTGTTTTATTTCTTTGTCATTTAGCAAAAAATCTTTAAATTAAAATATTTATCATTTGGACTTTGCTTTAAACTTTATTTATAGTTAAAATGACAAGAAAATGAAAAGCTGTCTTCAGCTGAAAAGAAATTCATGTAATTGATATTTA